TTTTTTTTTTTTTTTTTCTTTAAGAAATCACTCAGCAGTTGCTGAAGGATATCGTCGGGAACATTTCTTGAGTGGTTACAAACAGCAAAAGCTGAAGAATGGCTGAAAATTACTGGTGCTTTTGAGATGCGCAGTGCAGCTTTTGCTGTGGAATATGAAGTATGAGATAAATCTATCAGCATACCCAGGCGATTCATCTCCTTTACCACTTCCTAAAACAGATGTATAAGCAACAGTATCAGTATTACATTTCTTTAAAGGAAACCATTTAGCTAATGCATTAAATCAGATAAATAGATTCTGCAGCTGTCAGCTAGCTGTAAACATGCTATGTCTGTATGTGTGTCTACTTGCCTATTAATTTAATAGGAGGATCTTCACTCACAATAAGCAGCACACCACCATATGCTCAAGATGCACAGAGCTCAGTCAAACTGCATTTTATCACGACACAAGTACTCCAAACCTAATCCTTCAGATTTTTATTCAAATCCCACTATTTCCACAGACTAATTCATACATCTGATCACATCATCAAAACTGTTGTAATTAAATCTAATGCTACCATTACCCTTTGGAACATCACAAGGAATTTGTCTTTTTTGAGCTCTCACCTCCCTTCTAAGTAGTAAGAATTGCTAGTAATTAATTTTTACTGACTGGTTGCTTTCTGAAAATGCCAGAAGCTGTTAATTGCATAAAAGCCTGGTTTGATTATCATTCAAAAGAAGTTCTTACTTGGCCAAACTCAGTGAGACCATCAACATTAGGATAAAACCTATGTATTCCCTTAGACGATGATTCAGACCTTAAGAAGGGGAGCAAGGGAGGAGAAACATAACGTCATTCTGGAGATCACAAAACCAGCAGCTGACAGTTCTTATGCCACACAATAGAAATCACTACCTTGGTGTCACAGCCAGAGTTAGGGAGAACAAGCTGCAATATGCATCTTACTGGCACAGTGCATTTTATGTTCATAACTATACTCTAGAAGTTATTCCTTCAGGTTCAGGACCATTGCACGAACATAGTTTGCAAAGTAACACAACACAAGCAAGGAGAAGCTTGTCAGAAAGTTTCCCATTAAACAATCCCCTGTCAGAAAACATACACTGAAATCCATCAAAAATGGCAGTTTCCTGTCAGCTATGTGTGTGT